AAAGTCAGTATCGGTATCGAGAGAGATCATCCGTGAAAAAGAGAAAAGTCAGTATCGGTATCAAGAGAGATCATCAGTGATAAAGAGAAAAAGAAAGAGAATTAAACCATGATCTATAGCTCCCTTTTATAGCATAATTAACCAATCAGAACACAGCATAATACATTACAATATGTTTCCTTAAAGCTACAAACATATATATTTGTAGTTTATATATTGTCCACCCAACTACGTTATTTACAGACATGTAACACCCCATTGCTTTTCCCTTGAAGATCTCTGCTGTCGCTCGGGCCACCTCCGTCTCTCCCAAGGCGTCGAGGAAGAGAGGGGAGAACATCGCAACCGGCCGGAGAGCCGCCGTAGGACCAGGAGGATGGCCGCCGAGATGCTGAACTTCGGCCCAGAATGGTGAGCAGGACAGGGTGGGTTGAGGGTGGGGTGGGGTGGGAGAATCCAGACCCCCGAAGGGAGCTTGGAAAATGGCCGCTCTAGATTTCCACGGTCTTGCGACGGCCCCGGAGCGTAACACAACCACAACGCAATCCACGACGTAAATCGACGTCCTTTACTAAGGCCTCCAACGTGGCCCCCCCACCGTTGAGTAATATTCCATCGGAGGGAAAACGTCCTCCAAAGAAAGCCGTACGGTCCGAACCGAATGAGCAGATAAGAGGTGAAATAAAATAAAAAAACAAACCAAAAACAAACTACAATGACGGCATTTCCACAACGGACCAGGATAAATAATCACTAACAAGGCAGAGTCTGTTGGAAGGACGCCAACCAAGATGACTTGAGCCCAAAATAAAACAAGCTTTGCTTCTGGCAACGCTGTGTTCTAACCGTCCATCTTATATGCTATATCTCCCCAGCTGCAACCCACAAAGGGGATCAGGGCCGCTTTCTCTCTCGCAAGCCACCTTGCTCCCTTCTCCGGTCCTCCGTGTGTCCTAGAATGGAGAGGGGATGGGTCTGGTTCTTTCTCTGACTGCCCAGCCGGCCTCCGCCCTTCCACAACCTCCGGAGCCACCCCTCCACTCCTTGTCGGTGACTAGAATCTGGAAGGAAGGGACCCTAGGGGTCTTCTAGTCTACCCCGCCCCCCTTCTCAAGCAGGAGACCCTTACGCCAGTGGTGGCTAATCTTTTTGGGCTCCTGTTGTCAAAAATGGTGCGTGGGCTTCAACGTGCGCACGCTCGCGTGTCAGCACCCAGAAGGCAATGCGCGCCCCCTATGCATGCGTGCAAGGTCCTCCTCCTCCTCTTCCTCCTGTTCCTCCTCTTCCTATTCTTCCTCCTCTTCTTTCTCCTTTTCCTCCTCTTTTTCCTCCTCTTCTTCCTCC